GGGGAGGAGCCGATGGTGGAGGGCGGTGAGCTGCGCAGCGGGGCGCGGTCGCATGGGAACCCGGATGGTGTCAGGCGGTGAGCTCCAGGGGGCCGGGCCGTGCGGGCCCCGCACCTACGCTGACCGCTGCGCTGCGTCCGGCCACAGGCGCGCAGACTCGGTGGACAGCCACCTCCTGGACCTGTGCGTCCTGGTGTTCCGCGCGTCTTTCGGCAGCGGTGGCCGCCTGAGCCTGGGCCGCCTGCTAGCCCACAGCAAACGCGCTGTCAAGAAGTTCGTCAACTGCGACGTGATGCTGGAGCCCGGCGAGTACGCCGTGGTGTGCTGTGCCTTCAACCACTGGAGCCCCGCCGCGCCGGGCCCGCCGGCCAACATGCAGGGTAACCGCGCACCCGCACCTGCACTCCCCGCCCCGCTCGCACGGAGGTCTGCTCGTGCCCCCCACTCACACGCCTGCCCCCTGTCCCCCCCCCGCAGCCTCCAGCCCCTCGGCGGGGGTCCCGCGCTGCACCCCGCAGCCGCCCGGCCACGTGCTGGCCGTGTACAGCTCGAGGCTGGTCATGGTGGAGCCCGTGGAGGCCCAGCCGACCACGCTGGCCGACGCCATCATTCTGCTCACCGAGAGCCGGGGCGAGCGGCACGAGGTGGGCCGGCCGGCAGGGTCCCGGGGGAGGGGGACGCGGAAGGAACCCCCGCCCCAGCCCACTCCTGCACTCTGTGTGGCCAGGGACGCGAGGGCATGACCTGCTACTACCTGACGCATGGCTGGGCGGGGCTCATCGTGGTGGTGGAGAACCGGCACCCCAAGTCCTACCTGCACGTGCAGTGTGACTGTTCTGACAGCTTCAACGTGGTGTCCACGCGTGGCAGCCTGCGCACCCAGGACAGCGTGCCCCCCCTGCACAGGTGGGCCCCGCCCCTGCCCCGCCCGCTCCCCCCCACTTCGCTTCTACTGGCCCTCACCGGCCCCCTCCCCCAGGCAGGTCCTGGTGATCCTGTCCCAGCTGGAGGGCAACGCGGGCTTCTCCATCACCCATCGCCTGGCGCACCGCAAGGCTGCCCAGGCCTTCCTCAGTGACTGGACAGCCTCCAGGGGCACCCACAGCCCCCCTCTCACACCCGAAGTCGCTGGCCTGCATGGCCCCCGGCCTCTGTGACCACTCCACCTTCCCAGCCCCCACGCGCACTTTATGAGGGAGACCCCAGCAGAGGACGCTTGAATCAGAATCTCAGGACCCTGCCCAGGGAGCCACCAGCTGCAGTAGCTCCCCCTAGGCCTTCCTCCCTGCCCCTCCCTCCTGCCCTGGGCCTCCCCGCTGCCAAGCAGAATACCTCGAACCCGCCTCTAGCGCCAGGGGCCTGTACGCTAGCCCCTCTGACCAACCCTCTCAAGGTTGGGTTCAGATGGCCAGGGCCAAGGTGAGGCTTCTCTTTCCCTAGGGGCTGGGGCCTCCTGCCTGGCTGAGGCAGCCAAGAGCCCTGCTCCTAGAACCACATCTGGGCAGGTCAAGGCCAGGACCCCAGAGTGAGAGCAGGGATCTCTCCCTTGTAGGGGTCAGGCTGGGACTCCAGGGTGAAGAGCAACATCTCCTCTATGATGATCAGAGACTAGAACCCCTCAGTGAGCAGGGACCACCCCCATCTGTGGGGGTCAGAGGCTGGGATCCCAGGATGAGAGCAGGGACCACCTCCTTGGGGGACATGAGAGCAGGAGCCTTCTGTCCCTGGCTTGCCCCCAGAGCACATTTCCCCGGCCCCCACAAGGCAAGCAGGGGTCCCTGGAGCCCCAGCAGTGTGTCCCAGGAGGCAGGTGCCTGGCGACCGTGGGCTCAGGGCCGGGGATGGGGGAGGTCCCAGCGGCCCCTCTGGCGACACTATGCAATTCCTGGAGCGCGTCTCAGGATCGAAGAAGCCATGCCCAGGGGCTGGAGGCCAGGGGCTGTGGGTCAAGGTCCAGCCAGGCCCAGGCTCATCCTGCGGTTTGGTGAGGTGGTTTGTCCTCAGCACCACCTGACCTCTGCCAGGACAAGCAGGGTCCGGCAGCAATCCTGGACCTCCCTGTCTAGGCAGAGGTAGGGCCCAGCAGCCCCTCCCAGCTCCTCCCCCACCTCAGAAGCCCAGGGAGCTGAGCAGTCACCTGGCAACCCGGCCGTCCTGCCTTGAGGCTGCTGTCAGGCCAGAGTCCTGCGTCTGCCCTCGGACATCTGAGGCCAGCTTCCTGGGGGCCTGCCTGGCCTCAGTGTCCTGCAGCCCCCAGGCCATGGGCAGCCCTATGGGGCTTGGCGGCCTTTTACACCTGGAGAAACATCGGGAAGCACGCCACTCCCCTTTGGGCCTCCTTTATATTCCCTCCTTTTACTCTGAGCTGTGAATATTTTTAACCCTGTATATATGGCCAGCTCTTCTGACACAGAGACTATTTTATCACTTGTCAGTCCCCATCCCTGTAGGATGGTTCTCCATGGGTGTTTCCAGACTCAGGCTCCAATGGACCAAATAAAAATGTTTTGTTTTGTAAGGGTGCCTCCAGGTCTGTCTGCTGCCCCTCCCAGGGTCCCTGGGCTCCCGGGCCCCCTCCACAGGCCGGGGCTATGCTGAGGGGCGTCCAAGCCTGACCCCGGGGCGGGGGGAGGGCAGCACCTCAGTGGGTGTGGCTCACCAGCGCCCCAGGTCAGGCTCACAAGGAGCCTTTAGGGGCGCCCTGCTTGTCGCTTGCATGCGCCCTTGAAGGACTGGGTGTCCGGGCGGGGCAGAGGCTCGGGTCAGACCACGCAGTGGTCAGCAGACTGGTCCCCACGCAGGCAGAAAAACAGCAGGTGCACAGTTGCTCCTTGTGCGACATCTGCTCTCAGGGGTGGGGGGGGCTGTCTGAATCTGTCAGGGTCATTAGGCGGGAGCAGATGGAGTGAGGGGGCTGCACAGGGAGAAAAGTTTCCATCCAGGCTGGTGGCTGTCCACTCCTCCTTGGCCCCAGCCGGCCAGCCCACGTCCCCACCATCCCCATCTCGCGGGGGGTCAGGCTGGGGCAGGCTCCCTGGCCGCGGCGTGCACAGCGGGGGCTGCCGCCCGCCCCCGCAACGGAGGCGTGGCGTAGGGGGGCCGCAGAGGCCGGTGGTTGGGCGGGTGTAAGAGGCCTGTCACAGGCCAACCTATCGAATGTGAAAGCAATTAAAGGCACCAGCAGTGTGCGCTCCGGGCGGGCCTCGGGCAGCAGGATAGCTGCCACAGCACATCTCACGGGCGCCCTGCGCTGGCCACACTGCGCCTCGTCCCGTGGGGGGGCCGGGACGCGTCCACCTGGAGTTGGCACGGGGCTGGCCCTGGCACCCCTGGGGCGTCCTGGCAGCCTGGACCCACGACCCTCCCGGGGAAGGCTCAGGAAGCAAGATGTGGGAACAGCAGCTTCCCGCGGTCCTTGTGCCAGGCCAGGCGGGGGTCTCCGCTGGGAGCAGCGGGCCGTGTGCCCACCCCCTCCCCTGGAACCCTCGCATGCAGGGGAGGAGGCTCTAGCAGGGAGACTGCACGGAGGCTGGGACGAGGGGCCAGGTGTCCCCGGCCCCAAAGGGCACACAGTGTCCGAGGAGGAGTTGGGGGACCCCATAGACCAGACCCTTAGTTATGACCTGGGAGCTCATGGAGGGTGCTGGCAAGGGGCCGAGGTGGGAGCTTGCCCTGGGTCAGGGGGCCCCTGGGGAGGCGGCTAGTGGTGTGGAGAGAGGATGGGGGACTGGCCAGCCTGGCCGGGGCAGGGACCTTACCTGCCAAGCCCTTGGCCCTGACTGGCGGCACCTGGCTCCCAGGGCTGCCAAAATGGGGAGCAGGCACAAGGCCAGGGGCTGTCCCCCTCCTCACTGGTGGGCCCCCGCTCCCCACCTCAGCCTGCTAGGTCTCCCGCCTTCTGGCCACTGGGGCTCCTGGTCCTGGGCCCTCCTGCCCCTCTCTGCCTGCTGGCTTGGCCCCATGCCGCCCACGGCCCTCTCTCCCGGCCTCTTGTCCAGGCCGCCTCCCTGCCCACTCGGCCACGGCGGCCTTCTCCAGGCGGGCGACGGTGTGTTCTCACTTGTGAGGCGTCCCTGTCAGAAGCACTTAGTGTACAAATTAGCCGAGGCCTCCCGCCTCCCTCCGCAAGGCTGTGGGCGCTGGGCTGACAGGGCCGAGGCTCCGGGCACTCTCCCGCCCGCCCCGGGCGCCCACACAGCCCGCGTGCACCCCTGGCTGCCCGCCCATGACCGAGCAGGAAGGCTGTTCCTCGCCAGCCAACCAGGGCTCTTCTCAGGGCCCCGGACCTTGAGCTGGCCCCGGGGGGTGGGGGCGTGGGGGGTTGGTGACCACAACAGGGCAGAGCGTCCGGCAAGAGGCCGGGGGTCCTGAGCTCCAGGCCGGGCACCTGGCTCTGCCCCAGAGCTGCAGTCCGGTGTTGCGAGCTTTGGGGAACCTGGAGCTGGCTCGGCAGCCCCCACCTGCCCCGCCCGTTGGCTGGCCTGCCACTCAGGCAGGGAAAATCGTGTGTGACAGGCCCAGGAAGGCCGGGCCCCGGGGGCCGTGGAGCAACGCACACAGCTTCTCTCCCAACATATGGCTGCTGTCGGCCCCAGGCGCTGCCCGGCCAACACGGGCTTGCAAGCGGGTGGGGGTTCAGGCGGCCTGAGCTTCTCATCCCATCAGTCTGGCCACACTGCTCCCTCCGTGAGTCGAAAGGCCCCTGCCCCAGTTCGCATGCCTCCCATGACAGGGAGCTCACTCCTGCTGCACGCAGCCCTTCCCTGTCCCTCCAGAGAGCGGCCTGAGGCACACAGAGGGTCACCCCACACCCCACCCCAGGGTGGCCAAGGACCTAACATGTCCGGGGACCGAGCCGCGGAAGGGGCTGCGGGGGCCTCCAGAACGAGTAGCTTGCAGCTGGTGGGGGAGGGCGCAGCAAAGCTCGCGTGGGCAGAGTCATCATCCGCAGGCCCAGGGGAGCTGGGGCCAGAGGGCTTCTCCTGGGGTCCCCCTGTGCGAGGAGCTTCCCAGCTGGGCTTCCTCCCTCGGGGTGGGCCTGCTCCGCCCCACGTCCCTGGGCCTGTTTGGGCGGCCCCCTCACAGATTCCCTGAGAATCCCCCAGGCTCTGCATGGGTCCTGCCCTCACCTGCAGCGGGGACCCACAAACCTGCTCACATCCCTGCCCATCCCTGGCTCCACGGCTTCCCGCACAAGCCCGCCAGGAATCTCCCGTGACCCCACAGTGCTTGTGGGGTCAGCAGCCTCAGGCTGGCATCCAGGACCCTCAGGTGGGACCCTGCCTCCTTTGGCCCAAGCCCTGGGCCCAGCCCTCCGAGCCAGGAGTCCCTGAGGCCACCTCGAAGAGACAAGAAGAAGAAGTACCCAGGATGACCCATGTTCTGGGCCCAGGGGTCTCCTGCACGGTGCTCACCTCTCCCAGGGGCTCCTAGACCCCGCCTGGGGCCCCAGCCCCTCCCAGCGTCTGCCCGGCTGCTGTACCTGTCCTGGTGAGGGCTGTGTGTGGACACTGAGGAGGTGAGACAGGCCTGCTGGGGGCCCCGCTCACTGCCCCCTGCCTTCCCCGGCCGCGCATCCATCCTGACCACTCGCCCCTGCACGCGTATACCAGCATTAATGGAGGTGACAGGCGGACTGCCGTGGGCAAGCCAGGCAGAGGGGGTCAATGGCCAAAATGAGGCTCTGGCTGGGGTCAGAGGGAGGGGCCGGGGATCCCCACTGCACCCTGCACCAGGACCAACTGAGGAGGAGGCTCCCCAGAACCCCACTGGTGCCTGAAGCACCCAGAGACCAAGTCTCCTACCCACCCCTGCCCATGAGGGGAACAAGGCAGGGGTCTCAGAGCTCAGAGCCGCACGGCTGATCAAGCCCCAAAGCCAAGTGGGTCCCTGTCCTGCTTCAGGGGGCAGGGGCCAACTCTCCAGGCCCAAGCTCCCCCCAACATGTATGGGGTGGGTCCCAGCGGGAGCGTTATGACCCGCCCCCACCCTCACTCCTGAGTGGGAAGATGTGCCAGCGATGAGGGAGCAGATGGGCCTTGGGCAGAGGGCACAGGGGTGCAAGGGGCTGGCATCGATGTCCCAGCCTTGCCTGGCCACAGGTGCTGGGGACAGTCACCTGTGCTCCTGGGGGGCTGGCCCGGCTCACAATCCCATGCAAAGGCCATTGGGTTGCAGCCACCCAGCTGGGCGCTCGGGTCCACCCCTGCACAGAGCCCTCCTGGAAGCCCAGAAGCGCGCGCAGGTCATGCCCCTAGGTGCTGAGTCCCTCTGGAGGTGCCGCCACCTCTCCTCTTCCTCAAACTTCTGGAAAAGCCCATGCATGGGGTGGCCTCCATGGCTGGTGCTGAAGCACGTCCTCCCGGGGGCTCTTCTTGTTTGTCCTGCCACCTGGAGTCCCGGCTTCCTCCCTCCTTTCTGGGGCTCACGTAGGCTTCACTGGCTGTCCTCTCTGCACTCCGAAAGGCAGGGTTCCCAGCAACGAGGACTTTCTGGTCCATCACCTTCCTTCCCCTGAACGATGGCAACAGCCTCCGGCGAGTCCGTACCCTGTGTAGGCAGCTGTGGCCCCTCCCAGACCCTCGGAGGGCTCAGCCGGAGGGATGTGGGGAAGCAAGGAGCCATCCCTGGGACCAAGAGGCCAAGGCCTGGGATCCAGGGATCCCCGGATCCCACGCCGTCTCCGGGTGGCCTGTGCCCTTGCCCCCTCTGGACCGGGCCCGTGATGAGGGACCCAGGCCTGGCTCAGCACATCCAGGGGCCTGTGTGCAGAAGGAACAGGCCTCCTGGCCTCTACTCTCCACAGGGCTGCTGGCGTGACGGCCGTTCAAGCTGTCTCCCAGCCTGGGGCTGCCTGCACGGTCAGCTGGTCAGCTGGGCCAGGCCAGGCGAGCAGAGAGAAGGCTGGCGTGCTCTGCCACCCAGCCCCCAGCCCTAGCCTTTGCACTTGAGGAGGAGAGGCGAATCCCTTCGGGTGGTGTCAGGGAAGGTGGCACTGGGCCAAGAAGGAGACACTCGCCCTCCAACCGGCATCTTCGCCCTGGGCACCCCCAGAACCCCAGGGTCCTGTTCCTTATGGATGCCTGTCACAGTCGAGCAGAGCCCCAGGAGACCCAAACCAACAACTGAGCCACGGGCTGGTCACCCTCCTGCACAGATGGGGAAACTGAGGCCAGGTTCACGGGGCCCAGGAGGTGCTAGACTCTGGATCCAGGGCTCTATGCTGGCTGCCCCGCTTGCGGTGCAACACTCAGGGGCCTCTAGAGGATACTCCTTCCTTCCCCTCCTTCCTTCCCCAAGTTACCCCTGCCCCCCAAATTTAGTGGAGAATACCCCGGAAGCCTGGAGCTGAGCCTGCAAGGGGGGGGCGGTGAAGGAGATCCTCCACAGAGCTGGCCTGGAGCAGCACCCACCCCTCAGGCTGCAGACCCCATCCTGTGCCTGAAATGTACCATCACACATCTCTGGGTTCAGATGCCTTCCCCCCAAACAAAGGCAAGACTCCCGGAGAGAGACAGA